CACCCTCCAGTTTTAGTAAATCCCCCTTAAGTGAATATACTGTCTTTAGCAATCAGGTTTTTAGGTTTTACTTTTTTGTGCAGATGAGAACATAAAAGACAACTCTTGACTGGTTATTTCCTTTCATGGAGATTTGTTTTAGGAACGTGCTCCAACATCTCTAAATTACACTGTATGAGTGTTATAATAGCATAGGTAGATATAAAGTTAGCAAATGTATTCCAATTTTGTGGCTGTTTAATACAATATCTATAATATCTGTTTCCACATGCAACAATAAAAATGCTTATTTCACAGTTATCTCCTGGTCACATGTTTTTGGATGTTTCTAAAATACCATTTCTTCAGGAATATGGCATCAATCAGAAATTCTCTATTAACCACTTCAATACTGGGCACTTTAACCCCCCTCCCTCAACTTTCAGCACTGTAGCACTTTAAACGACAATTGTGCGGTCATGCAACACTGTACCCAAATTGTATTTTTATCATTTGTTGAGACAGATAGAGCTTTCTTTGGTGATATGTAGTCACCACCGGATGTTTTTTATTTTTTGCTAAATCGTCAAAAAAAGTTTCTGTTATAAACATTTGCAAATAAGTACATTTTCTTCACTGATGTGCGCTGAGGAGGCTGCACTGATGGGCACTGTGAAGCTGCACTGATGAGCACTGATAGGCTGCATTGATGAGCACTGATGCTGCTGCATTGATGGGCACTGACTAGGCTGCATTGATAGGCACTGATGGGCACCAATGAGGCTGAACTGATGGGTACTGATGAGGCTGCACTGCTGGGCACTGATATGCTGCACTGATTAGGCTGCACTGATGATCAGTGCCGTGATTACCAGTGTAAACATTCCCTGTCACAAGAAAGCCGATTAGGAATTTGTTTACATGTTATCAACTATGATTGGACACAGCTGCTCACATGGTAAAGAGCCAACATCATTGGCTCTTTACCCTGATCTGTGATGAGCTGTGTCCGAGGCGCAGTGCACCAATAGCAGATTGATGGTCGGGCAGACCTTTCCTCCCTCTGGGTGGACATCATATGACATCCTCATGGTCACCCGCTCTGGCGCACCCCTATGTGTGTTCACCACAGCGATCTGTGGTGAGCTGTGTCCCTAGGGAACTGTGTTGTCATTTTCCTGTTTCAACCTTTTTTTATAGGGAAAACCAAGCATACAAGACTGTTTCTTGGGCTACATGTGGCCTCCCACTCCTTTATAACCATTTGGTTTAAGTATTTAATTTGAATGAGGCCACAGTTATTCTGCCTTGATTAAAGTACACTGCCATTAAGTCCTGCTAGATCACTTCAGGCTGCCCCTTTTGCAGGTATAGCTTTGTAAAATAATAAAAATAAGTGGCTGTACTGTTTAAAGTCCAGCAATATACTGTCTCACACTGCTCTGCATATGCTCAGTTGCTCTCTATTTTTGGTACTTTGCTCAAAATGTAGAGGCCAATCTGCTGACAGCCTAAAGATTTACTGCTGCTCAGGGGCTCTGGGCTTCAGCAAAATGGCAGCCTCCAGCAAGAAGAAGCAGGAACAATGTTAGAGGCAATTTTCAGCACACACTGATTTTGTTAGCAGAATTATTCATGTGGAATGTATGATCCTTGCTAAAGAATATATATATATAATAATAACTTATTAAGTTATTATGAGTAAAGTTCAGCTTTAATTATTATATAACTATATACTACAGGAAAAGTTTTATGGTCACCTTTTCAGGGAAAAATGCATGCCAACCAAGACCAGGGAATGTATTAAAACTAAAGCTAGCCATACACATAAAATGTTCTCATTTAGTCCAAGGGCTGAATGAGAGAACTTTAATAGACACCTCTATCCATACTAAACATTGTGGGATGAAGGAATTTCCTCTGCTGGCTATTGTATTCTGAACTGCAGTCAATGGTCCAAGATGGACCAAAGGAACTAAAAAAAAATCACTATACCAGAACTTTAACCATTTGATGCCCTGAGCCTTTTTTGCCCTTATAACCCCCTTCAGTCCCAGCACATTTGTTTATATTAAGAAGATGTTTCGGTTCCTCTCTTTATACCTTTTAGTTTTACTGATTATCCTAATATATTATGCTTATTTGTTTCAGGACAGATATTGCTTTAATTTGGTGCAGACTTGGATACATATATTTTTATTTCTAAGGTTTTAATTAGGAACAATTCTGAAAAATTAGAAAAAAATGCAATATCCTGTCATTTTTTTCCCCAATGCAATGTCTTTTGCAGTGTTAGAGATTTATGCCAAATTGTAATGGACAGTTTCTTCTAAATAAAAGTATAACAGATAAGTGGGGTTTCTACGTGGCATAACAGTGAACTTTTCAAAGTGAACAATGTAAATGTTTTCATTTTAGTGCAAAAACGAAAGAAAAACAAAAATTTGAGAACTAGCCTCGCCCCTCTCCTAACTTTGTAAAATCCATCCACATGAGTTAACTGCTACAGGAATGGCATCAACTGAGCGGGTCCATTTAAGCGTCATTGTCACGGTAAAACGCGTTACTGTAGCAGTGCCATTCATTTTAAATGGAGCCTCAACACACTTAGGGCTTGTTTACACTAGTGGTTGGGGGGGGGGGCAGTAAAAGCATGTAGCTGCCTTAACTGTATCTCTTTTAGCTGGAAAGGCAAGGGCTAGGGGTGTACACATGCCACAGCCATGGTGCATTGCAGCCTTGGCAGGAATTATACCTCTGTTCCATTTGGCAGACACTACTGCCTGCTGAATGGGGCCGTGCCACAACCGTTCCACATCAGTGCATTGCGATGCAGTAGTTGGGCATTTTTGGGGGTTAAAATATGCAGTGAGTAGGCAATACTACACCTTCTCTTCACCTGTTCTCTCAAAGTGGTTCTAAAGGCTAAAGGTTTTTTACTTTCACGCATACTATGCAGTAAGGTAAAAAACTTTCAGTGTGCATATCCCCGCTCAGCCCCCCTCTAATACTTACCTGCGCCTGATCTCGATTCAGTGATGTGCATGAAAGCAGCAGCTCTCCTAGATCTCTCCCTCCTCATTGGCTGAGACACAGCAGCAGGAACCATTGCCTCCTGCTGCTGTCAATCACAGCCTGTGAGGAGGGAGCGGGGATGGGGATGAGCCACCCTCTGTGTGTCTTATAGACACAGAGAGGTGGCTCAGAGAGAGCATGCACGAATGCCCCCAGACCAAACAGCTTGCTCTGGGGTCACTCAACAAGAGAAGTAAGGAGCGCCAGTGGGGTACCTGAGAAGAGGTGGAAAGGGGCTGCTCTGTGCAAAACCATTGCACAGAGAAGGTACTGTAACTATGACATGTTATTAAAAAGAAAAATATTAACCTTTAGTATCACCGTAAGAGCAATCTCAGCACAAATCACTCTTCATAGAGCAATGCAAGTGTAAATAAGACTTAAGGCACCTGCATTGTACAGCACCACAATGCAAGAAAACAAATGTTAGCGCACTGTGGTGCATCGTTTTACAAAACAAAGGGTCACATCTGATTTATAGCACATTAGTGTGTGTTGGCAGATTGTTCGTTTCAATGGGCTGCCTTAGACCCATTTTAGATGGGCGATCCGATCAGTTCCGCCTGTCAGCTGTTCAGGTGGACCTAATTAGAAGGTCCATTCATGCCTATGGACAGGCGGGTTGTGTCCTCATGTATTTAGGCGGAGAGGATAGGAGGTAGCCGAGTGTAAAACGAACAGTGGAGTACATTTACTGAATGTACAGAATGTGCTCTGCCCATGTCTGCTCTGTAGATACTGATTGGACATGAATTCACCCCCTTTGCTCCAACCAGCAAAGAATCTGAGAGCGGATCCCCTGCTGATCAGAATGGAATCCACCACATGTGAAAAGGGGCCTTAATGATACGCATGTTAAAGTGGTTTTAAATCCAAAACCAAATATTTATTGTATTGCAACTTACCAATTCTTAGATGAGATGGCTGCATTAGTTTTCTTTTTAATTTTTTTTTTCTTTGTTTTCACCTGGTAATCCAGCCAGTAAGTCTGTTCTTTTTCAACAGACCAACTCTCCAGTAAATACACTGTATCAATTAGAGGGATGAGACAAACCTTATACCACTGACAGGGGTACTTACAATGATCAGTTTTTATTTATTAATGTATAACCTTTGTCCTGAAACTGTTGCTGTAACTGATTGTGTGACTACAGTGTGAATTGGAATTTGGCTTCAATTTGTTTGTGTGCCTAAATCTTCTAGTGCATCTAACACCCCCCCCCCCCCCACCTAGACTGACAATGCTGCTCTCCAAAGGTGCTCCTTCATCCAGAGTGTGGACACTCTAATACAGGAGGTGTGTTACTGGCCAAATCAACAGGTGAAAACAGAGGAAAAAAGAATAAAAAAGAAAACTAATGCAGCCACCACATCTAATGATTTTATGGAATAATTTTTGGTTTTGGGTTTATTACAGCTTTAATGTGTGACAAAACTTAACACACCGCAAAGTGCATGTGGCGTAAGTGATTTTCAGGCAGTATTTTTTTTTGCACCTACAATATGTGATAACTTTACATGTAAAACATGTTTAGAGAAAACACTGTAGCTTAGTTAAAGAAACATATAGGCTGCCATTGCTGACTTTCCTTCTTAGCACTTTCTGGGGGACGGCAGCAATTATAGCTCCTAGATTTCTCCTATGAAAGGTGTACTTTAACCTGATCCAAAATATGGATTTGCTATTGCTGTAGCACGCATCTGAAATACTTCAACATCGTTTAATCTGCTCTAAAACACCGATCATTTGTCACATGTGACAGATTTATTTTAAATTGCCACTAAACAAGAGAAAGCTAATCAATTGATATCTTTAAACGCTTATGGACCAGCTTGAATTTTACTTTATTTTTTCATTGTTTTGAATATTGGACCGTAAAATAAAGGACAGAAGAAATCTCATTGTTTTCTATGCACAGGCCAAGCTCCTGGGATGCTCAGGGACACTAAGCTTGTGTTGACTCTTCCGAGACGAGCAGAGCCATATGATCCAGCGCTCCTGTTTCTGAAACAAGGAAAGTTTATTAGATATTCTGCAAATACGTACTATTAGTCATTGAGAACGTGTTAGGCAGGGAGAGTAAAGCAGCTAGGACATACAAGTAGGCCAGCTCTCTGTCCTAAAACCAGCAGAGCAATAATGTTTATGATTTGCACTTTTGGTGACTCAGAGCTGTTGAAGGGTAGGATGAATATATGCTGCACTAAAGAGTGTTCTTATTCACTGAACCACCTGAGGAAACACTCCACGGCTACCCCCTGCTTCCTAACACTTAGCCCAATGGAGCAATAATGTACAGTAAATGAATTGTTACCTTTGATGACTCAGTATTGTTAAAGGGCCATAAGGCTACACATACAGTCATGGCCGAAATTGTTGGCACCCTTGATATTTCTCCAGGAAATCATGTATTTCTCACGAAACGTATTGCATTAACACATGTTTTGCTATACACATGTTTATTCCCTTTGTGTGTATTGGGACAAAACAAAAAAAGGGAGGAAAGAAAGCAAATTCGACATAATGTCACACAAACCTCCAAAAATGGGCTGGACAAAAGTATTGGCACCCTTTCACAACTGCGGATAAAATAAGAATGTTACAAGCATGTGATGCTCCTGTAAACTCACCTGGGGCAAGTAACAGGTGTGGGCAATATAGAAATCACACCTGAAAGCAGATAAAAAGGAGAGACGTTCACTTAACCTTTGCATTGTGTGTCTGTCTGTGCCACACTAAGCATGGACAACAGAAAGAGGAGACGAGAACTGTCTGAGGACCTGAGAACCAAAATTGTGGCAAAATATCAACAATCTCAAGGTTACAAGTCCATCTCCAGAGAACTAGATTTGCCTTTGTCCACAGTGCGCAACATTATCAAGAAGTTTGCAACCCATGGCACTGTAGCTAATCTCCCTGGTCGTGGACGGATGAGGAAAATTGATGAAAGATTGCAACGCAGAATAGTCCGGATGGTGGATAAGCAGCCCCAAACATGTTCCAAAGACATTCAAGCTGTCCTGCAGGCTCAGGGAGCATCAGTGTCAGCGCGAACTATCCGTCGACATTTAAATGAAATGAAACGCTATGGCAGGAGACCCAGGAGGACCCCACTGCTGACACAGAGACATAAAAAAGCAAGACTACAGTTTGCCAAAATGTACTTGAGTAAGCCAAAAGCCTTCTGGGAAAACGTCTTGTGGACAGATGAGACCAAGATAGAGCTTTTCGGTAAAGCACATCATTCTACTGTTTACCGAAAACGGAATGAGGCCTACAAAGAACAAAACACAGTACCTACGGTAAAATATGGTGGAGGTTCAATGATGTTTTGGGGTTGTTTTGCTGCCTCTGGCACTGGGTGCCTTGACTGTGTGCAAGGCATCATGAAATCTGAGGATTACCAAAGGATTTTGGGTCGCACTGTAGGGCCCAGTGTCAGAAAGCTGGGTTTGCGTCCAAGATCCTGGGTCTTCCAGCAGGACAATGACCCCAAACATACGTCAAAAAGCACTCAGAAATGGATGGCAAAGAAGCGCTGGAGAGTTCTGAAGTGGCCAGCAATGAGCCCAGATCTAAATCCCATTGAACACCTGTGGAGAGATCTTAAAATTGCTGTTGGGAAAAGGTGTCCTTCCAATAAGAGAGACCTGGAGCTGTTTGCAAAGGAAGAGTGGTCCAAAATTCCGGGTGAGAGGTGTCAGAAGCTTATTGATGGTTATAGGAAGCGACTGATTTCAGTTATGTTTTCCAAAGGGTGTGCAACCAAATATTAAGTTAAGGGTGCCAATACTTTTGTCCAGCCCATTTTTGGGGTTTTGTGTGACATTATGTCATATTTGCTTTTCTGCCTCTGTTTTATATTTGTTCCAATACATACAAAGGGAATAAACATGTGTATAGCAAAACATGTGTTAATGCAATACCTTTTTTGTGTGAAATACTTGATTTTCAGGAAAAATATCAAGGGTGCCAACAATTTCGGCCATGACTGTATAAGAATTCCTAATTATAGCATGACCTTAAACACTCAAGAGCTACCACTTGCTTCTTATTGCTTAGCACAGCCATCCATCAATTAACCCTTTTATCTGCAATCCTAGCCAATCCTAACCTATACACACTAAGGAAACCACACAGATCAGAACATCTTTTTATATGAACAAACATACAGTATATATAGAATATGCCATACAGTCAACTTGCTAACCAATTCAAAGCCCCCCAAAAAATTATGTAGCTAATCTTGTGTTATTTGTAGTTTATAATGTTGCATAAAACATAAAAGCAGTACTTTAAAGTGGTTGTAATCCTTTGAAATGAAAAATGATCAAAGCAATCTCTCTATAGTGTGTACTTGCCTCAAACCAAAAAGTGTGGTTTCTGTCTGCGATCTGCTTCCCTGCTATCTGCATGAATCACGTCTGATAGGTCAGGCAGACTTCAAGTGATTTAGAGGGATAGAGTAGGGGAGCTCCAGGACACAGCCTATGATTGACAGCATCAGCTGTGCATGTTTCTCTCTGAGACAGTGTGGGGGGGGGGGATTCCCCCCACTCAAGTCCCAGATTAAATTTGGCTGTCTGCTCTATGCTTTGCAGTGTGTGTGACATCAGATCTTTGCCCTCTGCCATCAGAAATGCTGTATAAACGGTATACTTTGAATGGCTGTGGATAAGATATGGCTACAGGTAAACAGGTACAACTTATGTAGGAAGATATGTTTCATCTCTGTGTATCACCTGAGGCTAGTCCCTTCATGAGGTATAGGTAAGGGTTTACAAGCGCAATCAGTGAAGTTAACATTGAGGATTCTATGTATACTTTATATGAGTTTTAGGAATATAATATGGCCAAGTCTTTTAATAGCAACCATTTCTATTGTACTAGATGCTTGTAATTTCCTTCCCCTGCACCAGATTTACAGCACACCAGTGAGAGAGGCAGGAAAATAATTTCATCGCTATCAAAGAAATTGGATGTATTATGATTTATTTCTAACACTTAGAAGTTTCAATTTGGATCATATACATTATGTATTTGAACAGTGTATCTATTGCCTATATTTTACTTCCTTTACTGTAACAGTTCTAGAATCCTTCTCTAGGGTGCTAATTCACCTTTTCTTTTTTTCTGAAAAGGTGATCTTACACTTTAAGAGGAAAAAAACTGCGGAAATGGCATGCAATTCACAGAAAATATGCTTTTACATATGCTTTAAACCAGGTAGATATCACTTTAGCCAAATATCCTACGGTGGGCCTGGTTTAATAATATTAGTAGGCAGCAGCCAATACATTATTATTGCTTAGGCAAAATAAAACAACTTGCATATTCCTGCAGTTCAGTATAAAATTACCTTTGAGGCGCAGATATGCCAGGAATTCAAGGACAGTCTGAATGGTACTCTCATCCAATGAATGTAGCAGTGTCCCTGTAGAAATAAGAAATATTTAACTTTTATTTTTAAAATTGATCAGTTTCTTTTAAACCATTCAGTGCCTAAGAGATAGGAACATTTTTCACTAATATGGTAATATAATGCAAAGCATATTGAAAAAAGCAAACTGCTGTGTGTGTCCTTGACAAATTTGAAGCCTTTTGACATAAATGTTCTAATAGTAAATGCTGCAGGAATTTACCGTATGAAGATAGGAAGATGATGATACCGTAGGAAGATGATGAAAGAGTTATGCGGTGAGAAAGTAGCGTAAAGAGAATAGATCCACTAGGTCCCTATAGAAGCCATTCTCCTTAAAGTGGGTTAAAGTTTAATCTCAGCCAGGGTTATAATAATATTATTTTTTTTATTTCCCATATTGTTCCTTCAAGGGTGTTAAATGCCACAGTTTCAATATGTGGATGATGAGGGGAGGAAAGGCATTATGCAGATGCAATGTTTGGCATCTGCTTATTAAGGGGGTTGCTACCCTATGATAAGCCTTGCTGTCTGCAATTGCCCCTTAGACATTAGATGATCATTTGATGTAGCCAAACACAGTTGAATCTGGAGACTAAGAGTGATATAGAGACTGACATTTCTGACCTGCTTCGGAAAATGCTAGCTTCCTGGATATTATACGAACTCCCTGTCTTCAGCACTTTTTAAGCCACTGACCCAAAACAAGTATGCAGATCAGAAAAGTCAGAGGAAAGCCTGGATCTTTGTTTACATACTTATTCTTAGATTCATAATCCCTATTTGTCATGTTTATCATCAAGAGTGATAGAAAATCCAAAATTTTGGGTTGTCCCCAGAACATTAATAGAGGGGAAGCCTTCCAATAGGGAAACTAATTCTACTGACCCTAACTGTTGCCTTTACAGTAGTTCTACTTTAACAATGGTGGCCTCTCCCATGAAAGATTTCTGAAAGAAGGGAAGGAAAATGATTAATAGATAGATGGACTTACCATACATGTCTTTTCCACTCTTGAACAAGTCTTCCGCTATCTCCCTTTTACCAGGTATACCACCTTTATCAGGCAAAGTCCGATGAGCATCTGTTGGAAAAAGATAACAGCCATATACCGGTAGTTAAATTATTATTATTAATAGCAAATGTGTTGAAATTTCTCTAGGCTAGCTAGCAAGATCATCACAGCACACAGAGCTATATTCGGACATTACAACACCATTTTTCCAACAACATCCCACATAAAGCTGCACCAGTGCAGTTGGTGCACATTCCTTCCAGCTCTACTTCAAGCAAGGTAATATTTCAGTTATAGGTGAAGGATGATGGGCTAAGTCAACCTTAGTCTCTATTGGTCTTAAATTTCCCAGCTGAGATAGATACCAACTGTTTCTGTTCCCCTAGAAAGTTTGTTTTTTATCAACCGCCTTTCCATACATCTCCTTATACTACATTCTCTATGAGGAATAATACATAAAAGTCCAACAGGAAGTGTTACCCTCCCTCATTTTGGGCAGCAGGTGTGTAAACCTAGGATCTCGCCAATACACTCATGAGATATAAACACTATCAGACTGACTCTCCAGCATATACCGGAAACTAAAATATATGTTTTTGGTGTACTGACACTTTAGGAAAATAACTCTCTCCAGGTCATTTGTATTTATCACATAGATTTTAGCAAACTTCATTACAGATCTTTACCGGATTCTATTCTGTAGATATTGCAGTGCACTTGCTGAGCTCTTTGCAATTTGGCGATAACTGTGAGTGTCCGCTTTTAAATTTAGTTTATTCTTGAAGTTAATCTAAAGACGTTCTCTTTCATGTTGGATAGAGGGGAATGGTTAAAACCCTGACAGATTTTTTTTTATTATTTTTTGCCATCAGTATCCCATTGGGAAGAATTCTGTGGACACAACAGAAGTGAGAGGAAATGTGATGACGTCACCATTTGTTTCTTGTATGGGTATCAATATCATCACTCCACAGAAGGATACGTATGATAAATCTTCTATTGTAAGCTGCTTCTGCATGGGTTTTAATTCACTAACCGCAGGGAACCTTTAAATTAAATTTGTCATGAGACTGACATTGCTGACCTCTCCCTTTGAAAAAGCTAGCTACATGACTTTCATTCTGATCATTTTGCTTCAATACTTTGAATCGCTGACCTGGAATAAGTATGCAGATAAGATATTTCTCCAACTTTCCTCTTCTACATTCTTGTTCCTGTTCAGTGAATCATAATTACTGAAACCAATGGCTCAGCATAACAGCAAGAAAATTTATATTTTTCAGGAAAAGGCCAGAACCTGTAACTCTGTCATGACAAGTTTTTATTTTTAAATACAAAGGTCATAAATAGAAAGTAAAGGGTTATGAATATAAAAATAATAAAACAAGTAAAAAATTATAATTATAAGAGTCAAAGGATATATACAAATTTGCATATATTATGTTTTTTACAGTGAATACCAGCATCAAAGATAATAATATTTTACATACAGACACCAGAGATCACAATACTTCATTAGCAAACAGTGAAACTAATAGAATGATAGGTAATATAATAAAAAACAGGACAATATTATATTCAACATACAGTATATTAAACTAGATTTGTCATTCAGTGCTTTTTCATAAGTACATGATCAGTGCTGTAATAAGGTGATCAGTCTAAGTTCAAGGGCATTACAGTGGAATAGTGTGCATTACTGTGCAGAATTTTGGGAGTGGCACTATGACAGGAGCAGATGAAGGGATGAGGGTTCAATGAAAACTTGTCTACAGAGTAGTGTTGCTTTGGTTGGAAGGAACAGACATTCAAATGTTTCTAAGTTTTTGAATACTATGGTTATAAAACTGCAAATGTAGAAATGACATGCTTTATCAAATGTTTAACACAAATGGCCCCTTCACACAGGCGATTCGATCAGGTCTGCCTCTCAGTTTTTCGGGCTGACCTGATCGAAAGGTCAATGCTTTCCTATGGATCGCCGTGTGTAAACAGACTTGTGTCCATTTACACCAGATCAGCTCCTTGTCCAACCATGCCCGCTAAAAAAAAAATAGAGGAGGATGGCTCCTTTCACATGGAGGTGAGGGTCCGATCAGGTCCGCCCGTCAGTGTTTCAGGTGAACCTGATCGGACCCTCTATTCACCTCTATGGACCAGCGGGTGTAAACGGACATTTGTTAGTTTACACTCGCCTACCTCCAATCTGATCCAGTACAAAAAAAAAAAAATGAAGGGCATCCTTCCTCCATCCAGGCAGATCAGAGGGTAGTCAGGTGTAAACGGATAGTGCAGTCAGTTTACACACAGCCACCTATAAAGCAGAGGGCTCTGTCTATGTCTGCTCTGCTTACAATGAGCAGACACAGACCTGTCATCTGCTCCAATCAGTACAAGGTCAGTGGACAGATCCCCTGCTGATCAGAACAGAAGGTGCCTGTATGAAAGGGCCCTTAATGTAGCTAGTTGAGAAGGCATTATTACAGTTCTTATGAACCATTCTTCATTAATCAAAAAAAAATCTAAATAAATGTACTACGTGTTACTTTACAGAGATGGGGCTCCTTTAAGTCTACGCAGAAAACCCCTAAAACACACAAAAGAAATCAGGTGTAAAGCTATACTTACGAGGTCCAAGAAGATACCCAGCACTGTTCAAGGTCCATCCTCGCTTGTCTTTGGGCTAAAAATACAGGTGGAATACATGGAAGAGATCAAATAATAGAGATCCTATAGGTGTAGATGCATAGATGTAACTTTCTTACCCATAAATACTTTTTGTTTTTTGATCATCACAAAAAGCCCTCCTTCCCATGAGCAAGATGACAAATGTTATATCAGTCATCTTCAAGCAATGATGTACTTTGCTCCATGGCTTCCAGTTGGATCTTTTGGAGCATAGGATATTGGCTATAGTTTCTTGCCTTATTTACCAGGGCCCAATACTCTTTTCCATTGATATGTTAGGAAGAACAAGAGCAGGTGCAGCGTTCACAATGGAGAAACTGCTACTCAATCTAAGATCAGGTGCTCTGGCTGAAAATGTCCTCCATCCATTAAATACAACAATAAGCAAAAGGTAGATCCGGCAACACCAAAATCCATATTTACATCTTTATTGGTTACATGGTAGTGAAAGAAAAAGAGCTAATGTGTTCTGGCAGATAGCCTTTGAAAGGATCTAGATAACCTCCATTTTGTTAATGTACGCCATTTTAAGTATTAAGTTAGCTTTTTGCAGATATATTAGAAGTTTAATGAAACTGTTTTAGTTGCTCAAGGATATATCAACAGAAGCTAACATGACCCTGACAATGTCTTTGTCTGGTTGTTTCTCAGAAAGCTAGCCAAAACAATTTATACCAAGAAATGTATATGTCATGTTTCATGTAGTTAGCTCATGATGGAAAGTTACAAGTTACAGTTTTTGAAACTCGCTCCCCCCTCCCTTATTTTTCTGTATCCTATATAATCTTAGTAATGTCTAATAAACTTTGAACATCTCTGAACATAAGCTGCCGTTATTTCCGTGTTCAAGGGGTGTTCCCAGAATTCTGCTGATAAACCAGGAATCTCTCCACAGACCGGGGGTCTCTGAGGGGATAAAGAAAATCATCCTTTCAGCCTTGATCGAGGCTATCTGGCAAAACTCGTTAGCTGTTTTTATCTCACTACCATGTAAGCAATAAAGATGTTCAAATGGAGTTTGAAGTTGCTGGATCTACCTTTCTTTTACCATTGATATGTTAGGCTACAGGTTCATGTTAGGCAAGTAAACGGTGTATAGCTACTGTAAATCTCTATAGAGATTACCTGCTAGTATTAAAGATTAGTGTTAGGTTTAGAGGCAAATGTATAGTTAGAATATAGAAAATTACCAAATACACAACTGAAACACAAAACAAACATTTTTAAATATGAACCTCTAATTGGTGCAAAAATATTATATGCTGAAAACATTCTTTCAATGTGCCCATGCCCTAAACAACTGTTTAAATTTGCAGAAGCTGCAAATCAGTGTATTCTTCCCATGCATCTTCTTGATAATTATAGACAATTGGGGCTTTAGACAGTCCTTAATTCAGGATTGTTTCACAAAATTAGAGACCATTGACAAATGTGTATACTATAAAAATCATGAATAATAGACAGGAGGAGGGGCTTATCAGGAGGTGGACTCTAACTGTTGGTAGTGGGCAGCATTTATTTTGCTTTAATTACTGTACATTACCATTCTACATTGTGCCTGCAATCATTTTTTAGTGTGGAGGTTAGTGGTAAGTTGAATACAACTGACAGAGATGTGTCAACGTCTTGAATAGCATCAGCATGTTGAAAAGTAAAATGCCACCTAGGCCAGAAAAATTGCCTATTCAATAGCCAGGTACTGTACATCGCACACCATCTGTCATTGTGGTAACCATAGGATTCATGTTGTTGGTTGCCTGCATGAATGCACAGATGAAAAATAATGCATGTACTTCTAGAACAAAATATGTTAAAGTCAGCTGTTAAAGTGTTAGTACAGCTCAGAAGAAATATAGTATTTCACATGAGTAGATGTTGGTGAGTTTGCTCACCCAAAGGTTTCTTCTATCTCAGCTCTGCTCTGTTTGAAGTATTAAACTACTGCAACTCCATGCTGATTCCATAACTCCGTTGATACACTCAATACGGTATCCATCTTGACATCAATCTGGAAATGTATGTGTATAGCTTTCTGATGATGCTATAAGGCTAACCTCGGTCAGCAATATCTAGCGTGATTGCTTAACACTGCAATTTAACACTGTCACTTGCAAGAGATTTATAAGTACATTTTTAAATTGCTCATGATCTGCTGACTTTGATGTCTAACTGTGGCCAATTATAGAGACTAAGATTTCGAGCTTCTTTTTAATTGGACTTACTGGCTGGTCCACAGCAATATCCCTAGCATGGTAATCATATTTGCTTGGGAACAGTTGAAGTAGTGACAGTATTTTTATACTGCTTTTGACAATTACCCAGGTGCTACATGGGGTATATTTATGGGCTGGCACTAGTGCACTAGGTGAGAGGAATGGCTCTGAGTCTATTAATGTGACACAACGCGGTTGGTCCCACTGCATGCACTAGTTTGATAGGTGATGGTTTCAGGGTGCCTCTTTAGACAACGTCGTCTTTATTTTAGTGGTGGGAGAGGAGGGTTACTATTTATTTTTTGATAGTATATTTGGTGAACTTTTTGATAACAATAAAGCTTACATTTTTAGTCAAAGCCACACGTTTCCTTTATAGCAATGACTATATGCCTAAGGACCAAGGTCTTCAACTTGATCCTTGAGCCATTTTTTGTGAATCCCTTGCACATACTGTAGATCGGGATATCCTTGACTCCGAAGACCACTCTACGCCCTTCCCACTGTCTCCATTGTGTATGAGGGTAAGAGCTTTTCCGCTAAAATGTCAAGGTAAATCTCTAAGCGCGATTATAGAAGAGTCCTAACAGAAAAATACTAACTACAAATGGGTAAAGTATCCTGTATAATGAAAGATGTGACAACGAGATAAGAACTGCCCCTGCTCCATTTTTTTAGTCTTGACCGTAATAAAAAATTATATATGTACAAACCACCATGTATTTTATTTTAAAAATGATATTCTTTAGCAAAAAAATGTTGCAAACCCAATACATGGACTTAAGTCTATTGGATATTTTCTTACCAGTAACGTGTAGCCAAAACATTCAGTTGCCATGGCACAGAGAAGAAAAGAAACGCACAACAGAGTCTGTGAATTCCGCATCTACAGAAGAACAAAATCATGTGAAATCTGGTTGGTTCAACTTTCACAAGGTGTACATAATGGCCTTTATTTATTAGGGCAAATAGAAGTGTAAAAAGTGCAGCCGTTATGGTAAACAATTTAAAATTATTTTTCATTGTACTCACAGCTGCTGTAAATTTAATTACCTAAACGTAGAATATACTTGTGGGGATTTTTCTGTTAGCTGAACCCCAGACAGATAAATAAAAATGAATGTAATGAAATCAATTCATATAATTTTAAATAGCAACAAGTGTGAGTCCCTCAGTTAGTCTTCATATCACCCCCCTGTGATCATCTGCACAACAGGACTCAAACTGAGAGAGGAAGGAATAGCCCCAGTAGCCGATCAAGCTGTTGCATTGCACACATACTAACAGACAACATACGTACGTACAGTATAAGAGGAGAGTGCGCTTTGAGCAAAGTGATGCTACTCCTACATCATCCAATCAACAGGGTGGGGACTGGTTTCTAAATAAACTGGGATGCCTCTTCCGAGCAAAAGAGAGACTCAACAGAATTTTTACACTTTTGAATTTTATTTTACATGTATTTCAACTATATTTTGGTCAGGACAAGAGGGTACTTTTTTATATCTGGAAGAAAAGAGTTAACCTCTGCATATGGAAAGGCTTCTTCACAGTTGGAGCTGTGGAAATGTGGAATAGATTGCCTCAAGAACTAGTTATTGCAGCTCAGCAGAATAAACAGAGCTGGATGCATTCCTAAATGCACAACATAAACTGGATATTAATATTGATAGATAAGAACACCAAAGATTGTTGATCCAGGGAATATTTGATTGCCTTCTGAGGGATAAGGATGGAATTTATTTTTCCCCCATTGGATTGGAATTCAGGCAGTTCATCAGGGACATGCCAAATTTAAATCCATGTATGGGTTGGCTGGTTGTACACAAGTCGATCTATCGATTGACTTGTGTACCACCAGCCTATTGCTTTTTTTTTCGCAAAAGATTAGTGCGGCTGGCTATATTTAATCTCCAAATATGGAAAGGTTTCTTCATAGTAAGAGCTGTGAAAATGTGGAATAGACTCCCTCAAGAGTTGGTTCTGGCCAGCTCAGTGGATTGCTTTAAAAAGGCCTGGATTCTTTCTTGGATACACAACATTTATAGGTAAAGTTGATCCAGGGAATATCCGATTGCCTCTCGGGGGATGAGGAAGGAATTTGTTCCCCTGCAGGAGCAAATTGGATCATGCTTTGCTGGGTTTTTTTTTGCCTTTCTCTGGATCAATTGTGGGTATAGGATTATAACTTTTTTTTTTCTATGGTTGAACAAGATGGACTTTTGTCTTTTTTCATCCAGACTAACTATGTAACTAAACACTGTATTTTGCCGCGGGGACGTCTCCCCTTCAGAAGAATACAATAGCCCAGCAGGAAGGATTCCCCATCCACATTGAATGCGTAGTGAAGGAAAAAAAAAATTAATCATGCATGGCCTGCTTTAGATTGCCTATAGATCAATGAATACAAACAATACTCCTATTTTCAAAAATGGCTTGTAATAAATGGTTATTTCTGATGTCCGAGGGTAAAAGCCTGTTGGAAATTGCTTTTCTATACTACGAAGCATATAAAACATCAATATGTCAAAGGGATATTGTGCCAGCACTTACACACGTGTGTAAGGATCAACAGTTATGTTTCCACCTATCGGTTTCACAGGATAATATAATATAATACAATACGATATAATATAACATCTGATTTTATGTGGTCATCCTTAGCAAATTGTTATTTGATTGTTTGTTGTGGATTGTAGCACACCATTGCTCTTTAGACAATCTCATTATATCATCTGCATAATAAATACATAAAAAATAAACTTAACAGAATTATAAAAGCATTTGATAATAAGCCATGCAGGAAAAAAAATCTATGTAGACATAGAACCCATACTTACAGTATTACTGAAAAGTGGCAAAATTTATTTACTGTCAGTTAAAAATTTCTATTATTAAAGCTGTGCTTTAAAGTTGTGTTCAGAACAAAGCAATGTAACACATAAATCTTACTGAGTAGAATGTGTGATGTGCAAAAGGCAGAAGTCAGCATCAACCAAAAACTTTTCATTACTGATTAGTTGCTATGAGTAACTACATGTTGTTCATTATGACTCCTAGTACTGCATTATGAAACAGGTTACTGACTTTACACATTATATTATTAAGAGTTCACACAATACAAGCTAAATGAAACACAGAAAGAATAACTTACCTTTAATATAGAAGGTATTGTCTTGGTCTTGAATGTTTTAAAAAAATATATGTTCTTTTACTTTTTTTTGGTCTTGTATTCAAATATAGATGGTGGCCAGAATCTTGCAAGCTTGATGTTACTCAGCCACCCCTCAGTGTCGCAAGATCTCCGACGCTTGCTGGGTATTTATGCAGCAAGCGCAATTTTTTATCATTATCAAGGAGGAGAAAAGGAGGGGATACAAAATGACAAATACGCATAAAGGTTTGTGATTAGGTAAATGCTATTATTTGCCTTTTCAGCAAGAAAATTAGTTTGATAGGCGTAATTGCCTATAATTGACTTCCTCCTAATGCCAGTAACCTTAGGTCAAGGGCTTGCTTTCTTCTATATGACTTCTTTTTTAACCCCTCCCCTTCCATTTCACCCCTAACTCTTTTTTTTTTTTTTAACAAAATCAACTTCACGCAACTTGGGATTTACCATTATGTTCTTTCCTCTTAGATATACTGTCCATTTGCATTGCAGTAAACAAGGTTAAACAAGCATACTGAATTAAAAAAATACTATTTTCTTTTGAATTTATAGGGTCACAGAGATATGCAAGTACCTTATGTTCAGATGAAAGTCACATCAATTTCAGCATGTTCAAATGTTATAGAGCAGCACCTACAGTGCCTTGAAAAAGTATTCATACCTCATTTCCACATTTTATCATGTTACAGCCAAAAACATAAAATGTATTTTATTAGGATTTTATGTGATAGACCAACACAAAGTGGCACATAATTGTGAGGTGGAAGGAAAATGATACACACGAAAAATAAAAATGGCATGAGGTCCCACCAAAAAATCCATACCAGACCCTTTTTCAAGCATGCGGTCCAGCAGGCCAGGAAATGAGGAAGGAATAAGCACATACCCCTCCCCCTCAATCATGCCAGGAAACATACTCAACTTGGGGAATGCTTTGCCAGAGGGGATCCCCCCTGGCAAAGCACTTCATCTCCATGTTGATTTGGACAAGGGTCTCTTCCCCACAACTCTGGTCCATTGGTTGTGGTGGTGTGGGTGGTGACTTATCAGAGATAAAATTCTGCTCCCCCCATATGTGAATGAGTATAGGGTACATAGAACCCCTACTCATTCACCAAAAAATTACAAATGTAGAATAAAAAACCACACAGTTTTTGACAAGTCTGATGTACATCCATCATCGATTCCAATGACCACTGCCTGCTGTCCTGCATGAGAAAAAAAACATGACTGCTCAGCTTAGCTCCCATTGACTGACATTCCACATCCCCCTGCCACTAAAATAAAATAAGGGGCAAGGTCACCCAGTGACGTAATTGACCATACATGGACATGTCCATATATGATCAACGATGTCTTAAAGGGGTGTGGTCACCCAGGTGAGCTCACTGGGTGATCCCCACCCCCTTATGACATCATTGGCCAAATATGGATGTGTACATTGTAAGATCAATGATGTCACTGGTTTGCCGCACCCTTTCATTTATTTCAGTGGCAGGAGGAAATGGCATGTCAGTCAGTGGGAGCCAAGCAAGGAGCGGTAATCTTTTTTTTCTCATGCAGGATGGCAGGCAGTGGTCATTGTAATTGACGATGGATAACTTGTTAAAAAATGTGTGGTGTGTTTTTATTTACATTTGTAGGGATAGGGATTCTATGTACCTCATACTCATTCACATGGGGGAGGGGCAGAATCTTATTTCTGATAAGGTACCTTTACATTTGCAGGTTTTTGGTGAATGGCGGGGGGGAGGGAGCAGCATGTCAGTCATCTGGAACCAAGCAACAGGGCAGTCATGTCGGCCGGCAGTGTTCGTCATAATAGACAATGGATGTACATGGGGGACACCCTTTTTATTTAATTTTTGTTATAAAGGACATGCCAAAAGTTTGGTGTGCTTATTTCTATGGCACATCATTTTTTTGGGAGTATGAGTAGGGGTACTATGTACCCTTTACTCATTCACAAAGGGGACTTGGCATCTTGGGGCCCCCTTGTAAGTCACCCCCCCCCCCCCACAAAGAACCATGTTGAGGGCATCTGGCTTGGTATGGATAAGGACAGGAGGTGTAGAGTGCACCCCCCTCTTTTCCTGGCCTGCTGGGCTGCATGCTTGGATAAGGGTCTGGTATGGATTTTGAGGGGAACTCTCTTGCCTTTTTTGTTTTGCTGTTAGGTCCCCCCCCCAAAATCCATACCAGACCCAAAGAACCTGGTATAGATTAGGGAGGAAACAGACCATTTTTGTGATTTTTATTTTACTGGCTGCTCTTTTGTTTACATTTAACTGACAGCAGGGATGAATCATGGTTGTTAGGACACCAGGGGGCGCTGGTTCTTTAAAGCAGACCTTCACCCAAAACGGGGCATTTCCTCACCCTCCCCCCTGTATTTAGAATGTTTTGTTTTGGGGGGGGGCAGGAACTTTTTGACAGGTACCTGCTCCCACTTCCAGTCAAAATGCCACAGTGATCTGAATGAAAGTTCTCCCCCCCTTCCCCCACAGGCTCTTGGGAGGCGTCACAGGTCCCAGGAGACTGTGAGACCATTCTAGTGGCGCAGCATGGCTCGTGCATGGGCAGTGGACAGCCGGCTGCGAAGCCGCCAAGAAGTCACAGTCGGCTGCACACAATTAAGATGCTGGCGCCTGGACACAAAGACCGAAAAAGCAAAAAGGTCGGGTGAGGTATTGCTGGATCCTGGAACAGGTAAG